TCATCTGTGTCTTTTGTTCAGGAGAGGAAAAGGCATTAAGGGATGGAGGTGACTCTGTATTACTTTCCATTTCTGAATAAATGTTTGTTATTCCTAAAAAAAAAAGAATACTCTCCTGGTGTTCCAGTTGAACACTGAAATCCATTCATAGGAGCCGTCAGTCATGGTGGATGTCAGTCAAGTTTAGGGAGACAGAAGCAGAAGTGCTACGAGACACCCTGCTGTCATGCTCAGAAATTTTCAGCCATGTCTCCCAGCGGCACTTCCTGTGGGCGCAGCGGGGAGGGCATCTGCACCTGTATCTCACAGCCACACCTTCCCAAGGTTTGTTACTTGAATTTGTAGTGGCTGATGGGAAATGGTAGCAAGATTGAAATAATGGACACACAAATATTTTGATATTTCTACTTTTCAAATTAAAGAAAAGTTGTAGGAAATCAGGGACCTTGATCAAGTTCCACTTTTGAATTTCAGTAATAAGCATATAAAATAAAAAGATTTTGAAGGAGCAGAAGGTCTTTAGAAAAGTCCTCTATATCATTTTGGTTTCAAATAGATGACCATTTGTACTGCACATGTGTGGAATAGAGAGGGGAAGGAAGCCTCAGGAAGCCCCTCGCGTCAGTGCTTGTGTACCTGACGTTCTATGTGTCTCAGCCTCTTTGTGACATTGCTACACAAGCTGTGTGCTCAGAAGACTAAGTAGGACTTCCTCCTGTGTTGAATCCTCTGCTCCCTGCTGGCTGCAGTAAGTGGCAGAAGAAGCCACAGGCTGCGGGGCTTGTCTCCCAGGAGCTGAGGCTGCAGCCTTTGCCTCCCCATCCCCACTAGGCTACTCTGCAACCTGTGCCTCTTCCTGGTCATAGGTCTGAAGGAATTTCAGAGCTATGTGGAAGAAGAAATGCACCCAAGCTCCGCTCTCAGGAGACCTGAGGGAGCTCGGACACACCTTCTAATCCAGGTGCTTTCTCCCACACAGGTGGGAGACTCTGCCTGGGAAGGTGTGAGTTCCCGCTCATGCTTTGCATTTGGTTATTGTCTCTGGGTGAATCTCTCTCCCTCTTCCTGCCCTTCCCTGCATTCCCTCTCATGTCTTTGTTTCTCTCTTTCCTTCCTTGTTCTTATTTTTTTTTTCATCCCCTCCTCCTTCCCTTGACGGTTAACCACTGGCACACACTCCATTTCTTCGCTACCTTGTGCCTGCTGCTGCTGATGCTGCTGCTGCTGTTGCTTCCTCCTCCTCCTCTGACTTCAGGATGGGGCCTTCTTTATGGAGTTTGTTCGCAGCCCACGCACAGCATCGTCCACCTTCTACTCTCAGGTTAGTCAACTCCAGGGCTCTGCAGCCTGTGCATGCCAGACCTATTGGTAGAAGGAGAATATTGGCTGGCCTTCTGTGCGTCTCTGAGCAAATGGAATTGGGCAGCTGAACGTGAACTTGGTGTCTAAGGTGTTTATTCCACGGTGTTCATGGCAGCAAAGGGGAATGGAAGAGATTCATGTAAGAGAAGACATGATTTCACCAGTGTTGTGGCAAGTGTTTCTGAGACTGCTTGCATGGTTCGCATGGTGCCATGGTTCTTTCCATGTGGTGGCATGTTCCCTTTTAAGTTTTATAAGCAACATGAAGTATGTATACTTAAGGACCGAACACTTGTTTTTCTCCTCTCAGTACAACCAGATAAATTTATAACAGTGTGGCAGGAAGTGGTGAAAAAATAGCCAACATTATAAATAGGCCTGTGCTGTGTCACAGGCTAATGGTGTACAGCTCTGGACAGCTCGCCTGCTGTTTAAGCTTCACTTAACTCATTTGTCAAGTAAGAGGTTTGGACCAGATCTTCAGGGGCCCTCCAGACCATAAAATTCTTCACTTACTGCATGCGAAGCACTTGTTTGTATCATTTCTTTTCACAAACTAACCTATGAGTTAAGTAAAAGTTTTATCTCGTTTTGCAAATGAAGAAATTGAGAGACAAAGAAGTTGATTTATATAGTACACGGTAGAGCTGTGATTTAAATCCAGGACCCAAAGACTTGACTCAAGACCCAATGGTAATTAGAATTAGTAATTACTGTTTTGACAGGTCCTTGATGAAGAGAAACAGAGCTCCCTACCCTTTACTGAAGCCGCTAATTGACTTAGTTACAGAGAAGTTACAGAGATCTGAAAAAGTGAAACGAGTTTATACAGAACCAGGCACCAGTGTCTCATATCTATAATCCAAACTACTCAGAAGGCAGAGATCAGGAAGATCACAGTTTGAAGCCAGTCCAGGCAAATAGTTCAGGAGACCCTATCTCAAAAATACCCAAAGCAAAAATAGAACTGGTGGAATGGCTCAAGTGGTAGAGCACCTGCCTAGCAAGTATGAGGCCCTGAGTTCAAACCGCAATACTGCCAAAGAAAAGAAAAGAAAAAAAAAAAGCTTATGCAGAGTGGTGAGCAGGCTGAGGAGGACAGGACTTTGGGACTTTGGAGGTTTAAGAGCACAAGTTAAGGAGTCCTTATTGTGTGGAAGTAAGAAAAGCAACATTTATTGAGTACCACTTTGCTAGTGCTTTGTAACGACCTGTTAGGTGCAGGTATTATCATGCCATTTTCCAGATGAGGAAACCAAGACTTAAAGATATTAGCGGCTCAAAGAACACTCCAACTAGTGATGGCTGAGCCCCTACAGCATGCTGTTCACCGTGCTGGGAGGGTAAGGGTTTAGTTGACAGAGGAATCTTGCTTTTCCTAGACCAGAGGTTGCTGTGCCTGTCTGCATGGGTCTTCAGATGTCGGCACCTGCCCCTTCTCTGTGGGCTTGTGGCCCTTGGAGAATCCTTGTCAGTACCTCTGAGTTCTAGTCTAAGTGTCTCTCATCTCTGAGTGTAGGAGGCATACTGTATTTGGTCCATACCTTTAAGCTTTTTACTTTTTAAAAAGAGACTCTCTTGTGAACAAGTTTAGGCTTAGATTTTTTTTTCTTTCTGCAGTACTGGGGTTTGAACTTGGCCTTGCACTCAGGCTGGTGCTCTTCAACTTGAGACATACCCGAGTGAATTCCCCCAAGTGGGAATAGCAAACAGAGATCAGACTTTAGGAGAGATGTGTAAACAACGTTCATATTGACCACAATATGGGTAATATGTTAAAAAGATGTGTAAATTAAAAGAAAACCTCATATCAGAGATGGTAAGGGAGTACTCTGTATGTACGTCAAGTTAAATTGTACTTTTTTCTTTTTTGGGTAGCCCTGGGTTTTAAACTCAGGGCCTCACTGTTACTAGGCAGGTGCTCTGCTACTTGAGACATGCCCACAGCCCTTTTCTGTGCTTTAGTTAGCTTTCAAATAGGGTCTTGAGTTTTTGCCCCTGCCAGCCTGATCTGTTTGTGCTCCCCAAGTAGCAGAGGTGACAGGTGCACTCCACCATGCCTAGCTTCATAGGTGGAGATGAGGGCCTTGCTAACTTTTTTGCCTGGACAGAGCTTAAACTGCTGTCCTCACAATCTCCACCTCCTGAGTAGCTGAGATTACAGACGTGAGCCATTGCACCCAGTTAGATTAGAATTTAACATAAGGAAAAATCAACAGAACTGAGAGTTGTTCAATGATATAATAATCCACTTAGATATCTTTGTGTGGTGAAATTCTCAAGTACAACAAAAGCGAATGAGTTCCTCCAACTGAGGATAGCAAAGAGATGTTAGACTTTAGGAGAGGCACATGAATAAAGATTATATTGCTCATCAGGTGTGTTGTTAGAAAGATGCATAAATTGGGCTGGCAGAGTGGCTCAAGTGGTGATACCACCTGCCTAGCAAGCATGAGGCCCTGAGTTCAAACCCCAGTACCACTAAAATAAATAAATAAATAAATAAATGTGTAAATTAGGAAAGAAAAATCTCAACTCATATCAGAGGTAGTAAGGGAGCTCTATGTATGTATATAAAATTTAATTGTCCTTTTGTCATTTTTTTTGGCAGTACTGGGGTTTGAACTCGGGGCCTTACTATTGCGAGGCAGGAACCTTGCCACTTGAGCCATGCCTCTGGCCCTTTTTTCACTGTAGTTTTTGTTTTTAGGTACAGTCTCGCATTTTTTTTCTGGGGCCTGCCTCAGGCCATGATCCATCTCCCTGCCATGTAGCTGGGACTGCAGATACACACCAGCACGCCCGGCCTATTGATTGAAATGGAGTCCTGCTAACTTTTTGTCTGCACTGGCTGTGGACTGCATGATCCTCCTGATATCCACCTCCCAAGTAGCTGAGATTACAGCCATGAGCCATGCACTTGGTTCCTTTTTTCTTTTTTTGCTTATTTTATTTATTATTTGTTGTGGTAGAATATACATAGCATAAAATGTGCTTTGTTTTCTAACAGGCAGCCTAATAGCATGGAGAGGGACTAGTCAAGTGATTCAGCTACTTTCAAGTCTTGGAGTGGCTTTAAGCATACTACTTAAGCTTCTGAACCCCAGTTTCCTCATTTGTAAGAGGAAATAAAAAAATTTCCTTGTAAGGCCATTTTTGAGTATTAGAAATAATGCATTTTTCACAAATGTCTGGGTGTGAAATCATAGAGAATATTACCACAGTGCAAGTAAGTTACATGTTAATGAAAAAAGATAACTAGAAAACTCCTGAGTGAGCTAGTTGCTGGTAGCTCACCACGCCTGTGATCCTAGCTATTTGTGAGGCAGAGAGATCAGGAGGATTGAGGTCTGAGTCCAGCCCAGGCACACAGTTCATGAGACCCTATCTCAAAAATACCCAACAAAAAAGGACTGGCAGAATGGCTCAATTGGTAGAGCACCTGCCTAGCAAGAGTGAGGTCCTGAGTTCAAACCTCCATACTACAAAAGAAAAGAAAGGGAAGGAGGGGGAAGGAAGGGAGAAGAAAACCCTTGTGTATTTAGTAATTAAGCAATACTTCTAGTTATGCATGTGGCAGGAATGATATGTGTAAGTGACTAGCGTGGTGCTGGCTACATGATAGATGCACAGCAGTCAACACTAGTTACGATTAGGATTAGTGTAACCTAGAAATGCTGTAAAGTACATAGGAGTTGTGTGTAGGCTATATGCAAATACTATGCCCTTTTATATAAGAGACTGAATAGCTATAGATTTTGTATCCTGGGGGCAGTGGTGTCCGTTGCAGGTACCAAGTGGCCACTTAACACTTTGATGCCAGATTGTAAAGTCAATTTAATTGCATCTCGGCTTATTAGTGTCTTCACCCTATTCCTGCTGCCTTTCCTCTCCACCATAAACCAGGACCAGAAAATACAGGGGGTGTAGTGAGCTATTTTTTTTAAAAAGTGGCTATGCATTTAAAGACTGTCCGCGCATGGGCTCTGGTGTCAGGCTGCCTACCTTCCCCAGCTGCACTAGCCTCTCCCACTCGTGGGTTTCTCGTCTTTGGAATGGACTAATACTTGCGTTCTCATCCGGTTGCTGTGAGAACAAAATGAGACGGAGCATCTTTGCGGTTAGCTCAGACCTGTTTCAGTCATTCTCCACAGTGTACCAGTGTAGAGGAGAAGGAGGCAAAAGCTGGGAGGCAGGGCAGGGTACAACCAGTGAGTTAGCGAGCCAGTCAGCTGTTTTCTCATGAGTGTGTGTGTGTGTGTGTGTGGAAATGGGCTTAGACTAATTATGTGATGACCCTGTTGGACTCTGGGAACAACAGAAGTCCTCTAGCTCTTGCTGAGTTGCCTGGGTGTTGCCATGGTTTTTGTTCCTGAGAGCAGCTGTTTGCTGAGGAGTTCTTGATGGCCGAGTTGGGAGGCAGGGGTTGTCACTCCAAGCCAGTTTTACTAAGGAAAAGAAGTACCTGTAAAATTAGAGCAGACAGCGGTGCACAGAGGGTTCTTGGTAGCAAAGCTATGTGCCAGACTTGGAAAATGCCACCATTTCATTATTCTGATAATAGTGAATGTGTCACTCTGTCTGATAACTAGAACAGAGTGATAGCAGTCTTCTTCTCTGCATCTCATTCTCTGGAAATTGACTTTTATCATCACAAACTTACTAAAGGATTTGGGAGACATGAGAAGTACTTGGTAATGAACCTTTTCTCAGGAGTCAGCCCCGGGATGTCTTCTGCCCATGGCTCAGAGCCTGAAGGGATACAGTGGTTCCTCCATGTGAGACCTGAGCCAGTGTCAGGGCCTCCTCCCTCTGCCCCTCCCTGACCTCTTAAATTACTCTCACAAGGAGACCTGGCTCACAGCCCAGCCCTTTACATCTGGGTGGATGTGCTTGGTAAATGTCTCCGAAGTCATTGCTTTTGGTCACCTCCATCTCCACGGACACATTCCCCAGGCCACCCGCATCCTGCAGTAGCCTCCTATGTGATCTCCCTGTTTCCATACAGGCCCTCCAGTCTGTTTTGTATCCAGCCTGCAGGCTCATCTTCTACGTGAAGTCTGTGTTATCCCTTATCAGACCTTTCCATGGCTTTCTTTGCTTTAGCAGAAAGCAAAATTCTTAAG